ACCGAGTGCGCGGCTCCCCGCACATGCTGACGGCACAGTTCCTCTTACGGCACTTAAAATGATTTCTGAGTACAAATTTCAGCAGCCAAGCTCTTAGAAAAGTGAAGAGCTTTGCGGGATGCAAAATCCTCCTCCAGCCGCAGCCCGCAGCGGCTGCCCGTCCCAAGCAGCCCTAAGGCTCCTCGGCGGCTCCAGGTACTGGCTGGGCAGCACCGGCACCGCGGAGCCACGGCGGGACCCCCATCGCTTGCGATGCCCGAGTCCGGGCTGCCAGCACGGGTCAGGGAACCTGGCCACGCTCTGGGGCTGCTCTGCCCAGCAAGAGGTTACAACTGGCTTCTGTTACCTCGGTGAATAATTAACTAAGAGCGTCATTAGCAACTGACCATCAATACAAAAGATCCAGTGGGTCGCTGGGTGGCACATGAAGGGCGTCCTTGGGATTTTTTAAAAGCCAAAACAAACTTTAAAGATGTCATTCATCAGACTTAGAGAGGTGTGTAAATAACTCTTGAGGTAAAGGCATTTGGGAAAAAGCCATGCAGGAGCATGCGGAGCGAAGCACGCGTGGTGCAAACCAGGATGACTTGCGGGACGTGGCTACGTCGCCCCTTTTCCAATCTTTATGTTGCAAAGAAACCAGCATGTGGGGAAGGACGGGGAGGCGATGCCTGAGCCTGCGGGGGGGAGCACAGGACAGTCAGGACACCCAGATCTCGTGCCCATCCTCCTGCCTCCACTCTGTCATCTGATGGCAGGGAAATGATCCGTCCAGGCCGGCTTCCTTCCTGCAAGGCAGGCGAAGCCGTCGGCGTTAGGCTGTGACCCACCTCCCCCCGCCCTGCTTGGGACAGACTTTTCCTTTCCCGGTATCGACTCATGACTCTGCAGAACGATGCCACTCGCTTTTTGCTGAGTCACAACCAACCATCCTTCAGCAGGAAATAAATCTTCCCTCATCTTTGCCAGAGCACCCTCTGCTCTCCCGGCTAATCCATCTTGCAATTTCTTCCCGGCACATTCCTGGGAAGGACAGCGCTGCCCGGAGAGGACAACCCAATTTTTGGAAACGGCTCTTTGTTGCATTAATGTGGCGTGCGTTTTTCACGCCGCCATGTAAGCGGTTCCAGCAGGGCTGAAGTCATCAGACGGTCTTGTAGCTCCCCGGGCTGCCATCCCTGCTCCTCCAGCAACGGAGCGAGCTGGCAGACGGCCGCGGAGGCACGAACAGGGCTGGGGCTGCAGCAAGATTTCACACTCATGTGGTTGTAGGATGGCGTATGAAAATTAATAAAAAAGAAGAGAACGTAAGAGCATAGGCAGTGATATCTTATCCAGTGGTGTTTCAAGGTCAATGCCAACAAAAGCAGCAGGGAGAGAGGGTTGTGAAACCTTGCAGCAAGTAAACAGGGAGCCAGAAGCACAGGGCAGAGCAGGCTCAAGAATGGAGCAAACAAGTCTCGAGTTATGATTTGGCTGCAGTGCAAACACCCCGTGAGCATTTCTGCCTTTTTAAGGGAAAGCACAGGGGGAAGAACTCCAGCAGTTCAGTTAGGATAAATTGTGGAACCATCAGGGTTTGCCGTTTAAAACTGGTTTGCATATTATGAGCCAAAAGCAGGTCAGGATGCTCATAACTGTGTCCTGCATCAGCTCAGCCTTTGACTCAAGAACAACCACAACTGCCCTCTTCTAGATCAGGTTTCATCATTAAACAGAAGAATTTAAAGGATTGCAGCACGTGTTACAAAAGCAGATTTCTGGCGTTCACATTCTTCATACACCTTCAGCAAAAAAAAAAAAAAAAAGGTTTCCCAGTGTTTACAAAGCGGGGTGCTCCAGGCAGCGTGCTGCTATCAGTGCCCCAATGTTTCCGTCGAGGCAAGCGTGAAAAGAGCATTTCCACGGGAGCGTTTTGCACTTTCTGTTCTGCAGAATCTGTTCTGCACAGCCCTCTTGACGTCAGAGCGAGCCCGGCTTCTGCCTACGGAGTAGGCACCTCTGCTCCTCACAGAGGTTTTCTTTTTTATAAGCTGATTCTTCCTGTACCAGGTTGCTTGCAAAGGTAATGATTTGGGCTACTTCAGTGGGAGAAAAACAACCAAAACTGGTGCAGCTCCTGAGTCAGAAGCGTGCAGCAACAGCGGTGACAGCAGCGCTGGCTCTGACGAGCCGTGACTCAGCACCAGCTCCCTGTCGAAGCAGACACCTCCTCTGTGGAGCATCTGGGTCTGGCTCCGAGCAGGACTTTGCCCGCTCAGCCCTTTCATCCGTTTCCCAACGCTGCCCCGGCGGCGCTTCCCGGCTCCGCTCGGAGCCATGACGGAGCAGGGTGGCTGCGGGCCGGGGCTCAGCACCCCGCAGAGCTCACTCCGGTCCCGGAGCCGCAGGGAGGGAGCCTTCGCCTCACCCTGCCCTCGGCGTCGCACCGAAACGTTACAGCAGGATCCAGGTCACGAGGGTGAAACTGCCACCCTCGGCACGGCGGAGAGCCCAGGCCTGCCGCAGCATGCTCCTGCCCTGCACTGCGGGAGCGACACCCACAACTGCTCATCCGGGATGCGGCACAAAACCCCTTTCTCCTTTATGCAATCGGTGCCACCTGCACGCTCCCACCCGCAGCCTCTCCAGCCCCGCAGCAGGAAGCATTACGCTAGGAAAGAAATATGCACCGATCTCTCTGGTTTCTGAATTCTTCCCATACTTCTCATAGCTGGAAGCAGCCACTCCTAGCAGGCTAAACAAACAAGCCAACATCTGAGTAACTGCCAGAGTTATGCTGCTTTTGTCTTCCCCCCCCGGCCCCAACCCCTCCAGAT